CAATTCCGCCAACTGGAACTGGATCATGCAAGCTCTTCGAGAGAAAAACGTTCCAGAATACTTGTGTAGAATAGTGGCCAGCTATTTTACCGAGTTCTTAAATACGACACGAAGAATGGTTTAAAAGAGTATGATATTACCGGAGGTGTACCCCAGTGCTCTGTACTTGGTCCACTGCTGTGGAATATCATGTATGATGGCCTATTGAGATTGAAATTGCCAAGAAGTATAAAACTCGTAGCATATGCAGACGACTTAGCCGTAGTAATCGTCGCTAAACATCTTGACGAGATTAACAACATGTTCGACATCACCTTCGAGCGAGTCTATCGGTGGATGAATACGGTAAACCTGCAGTGCTTATATCCAGCAGAAAAGTGTTAGAGACTATCAAGCTGAAAGTAGGCGAACAAGAAATCACATCACAATCTTACATCCGATATTTGGGAGTGATGCTTGATGCCCGACTCAACTTTAAGCAGCAAGTCGAACACGTGAGTGCAAAAGCATCAGCAGTGGCAGCTAGCTTAGCACGGCTGATGCCAAACGTCGGAGGCCCAAAGCAGAGCAGGAGACTACTACTATCATCAGTTGTCACATCGGTGCTCACATATGGAATATCTATTTGGGCTGACGCGCTGAAGTTGCAAGAATCATGGGGAAAAGCAGGACCAGTATATAGACTGAGCGCTGTAAGACTGGCCAGTGCATTCCGCACGATATCAGAAGTAGCAGTGTGTATCATTTCCGGAACTCTACCGCTCATAGTTCTAGCTGAGGAAAGACGGAACCTTTACCAATGAAAGAGGTCAACCACACTAAGTGCCGGGGAACTCAGAGCTGAAGAACGGCAAAACAGTATTGCACGATGGCAATCGCAGTGGGACGCCGCGACAACAGGATGATGGACACACCGTCTCATACCGAAGATTGACATTTGGCTTAACCGGAATCACGGTGAGGTCAATTACTATCTTATGTTGCAGATGTTGTCGGGACATGGGTGTTTTCGAGAGTATCTACGCCGCTTTAAGCACGATGACTCTTCGGAGTGCCCGACCTGCCAAGGAGTTGCTGAAGATGCGGAGCAGGTCTTCTTTGTATGTCCTCGTTTCGACTCACAGCGTGAAGAGCTGGAGAGGATCCTGTACCAGAGATTGCAACCAGATTCACTAGTGGGAGCAATGTTGTCATCAGAAGCTGCCTGGAACGTTACCAACACGTTTGCAACAGAAGTCCTTAAAGACTTGCGTTCCACTGAAAGAAGAAGAGCAAATAGCAGAAGATAGAAGGAAGGTAGTTAACACCTTAGCCATCAGAAGGAAGAGCAGTAGCTAGATCCTCCCTTTACGAAGTAATGCCTGACGGCGGTTTCCATGAGGGATTAGAGGAAAGAGGAAAGGGGTTTAGGGTTTAGTGAGTAGGGGCGTCAGCGTCTAGTTTTAGTATGACGCTGCGTCGAGTCGCCACATATCCGGGCCAACATGTATGCCTAGAATCCGTAAAAAGGATTCCCCCCCCCTAAAGGGGGAAAAAAAACACACACACACACACACATACAGACGTGCGGACACCATCGTAAAAATAGTCAGGGAAGCTTCCTGTGACCTTCAAACGTCGAGATCTGATGAAAACTCGATTTTTGTAAAACGGGGTGAAAACAATAATGTTCAGTGAACAGGCCCACTCAGTGAGCAATACGTCACTGTGGGCTCCCCAAATTTACAACACGCACCTGACAAGCCATCGTTCCCGCTATTTCTCACCCGCATGCGTAAACCGCCTGACTGATCACGCCACAGGTATCGAATTTTACCATTGGCTATCGATGTCGACATCAATAGAACGAATTTATTGATTGGCTATCGCTCTCGTTAGACATGCGCAGTAGCCTTCTTCTCCAAGACGAGGAAGAAGACGAATTATTATTATCTTTTCGCATCCATCTTCCCGCTTGTCAAGTAGCATTTTCGCATACATAAATTTCGCTTTCTAAATTAACCGCTTTTTCGCCTTTAAATAATTTTCTTTGCTTAATTAATTTGCTAATAATTCGCTTTAGTCTATTTTAGATAACTTACAATTATTTGTGCAACAATTACCGCTTTTTTCAGTGCCGGCAGTTTATTCAACCACGTGCTAACCGGCTTCGCTTTTGCTAACCACGCTGTGTATTACATATCCGCTTTTATTTAACCAATCCGCTATTGAACTAGTTAAATATTTAGTGTATTTATTGTTAATAAATATCTAGTGTTATTTTTGTTAATAATTTTTGTATTTTAATTGAGATAACCAGACCGAAACCTGATCCTTAGTTTTTCCGCTCTTTCAGCATTTTACAAATAACTTCCCGATTTTTGAAAATCTGAGATTTTTAGCGGGAAGTTAAAAATTTTTTAATCTGAAATTCATAAAATTTTTACTTTATAAAATTTATTAAAATAACCGGTTAACATCAATTCGCTCAAAATTATTTTCAGAATTCTTCAATAATTTATAAAGTACTTGAAGTTCAAAAAATTGTGTTATTAGTTTTTTCAAAAAGATGATTTCTAAAATGTTTTTTCATTGTAGAAATTCATAAACGATTTACGAGTCTGGGAAGATTTTAAAAATAGTAGAGAAAGTTGCGTTTGTCTTCTTTTCAATAATAAAATGTTAACATTGATGTGAAAAAATATTTGTCTATTAAATCCATATTGTTAAAGGATCGACAAATGCAAGTTGAAAATTTGTAGGATCTTGTTAGATCAATAAGAAGTATTCTGTAAAATAGTTTGATCTAAACATTAGATGTCGGTCATAAATTTTTATTACTTTAATCAATTCTAATATTCACTAATTTTAATAATAACTGAAAACGCAGTTTTAAATGTATTACGTTCTTCGACGGTTCGTAAAAGATATTCTTTGAATAAATTTGAACCAAAAATTTAACGTGGGTGTATTTTTTAGGAGATTATCAATATAACGAATACCTAGCGAATTCCCAGATTGACGGATGCGATCCAAGCTTTAATCGCAGTACTCTGTGATAGGATTTAATGTTGTTGTTGGTTCTATTTACCTTTCGGTAACAGCTAAATCTTTCAGGCTTTACGGTTTCAAACCAGTATCCTCTAAAATAACTTATTAATCCTTTTAATTCCTTAATCATTTCTTTGTGATTATTGATGAGCCATTCAAAAGCTTTGTTGATATCAGTCGCTGGCAACAAGGCAAGACCTAAAAGTTTTCTGATAAGAACTCTAAATTCTTCTCTTTCTTCGATCAAAGTATCTAATTTTAGAGCGGTCGTTTTTTTAATTATTGCCTGTAATCATTACATTTTTTAATTTTTTTACTGCAATCCCTACATAATATAATAGAAAACTATTTTCTTTTGTAATGCAATAATTGATCCATTCATCGCAATTATAAGATAACTGAAAAATAAAAATATTGAACAGTAATATAGAAAAGCATTTTTTCAGATACATATCTCACTCATACTTCTTCCCTGATTAAAAAAAGGAATTTGACAGAATTAAAAAGAATTAAAATGTTAATACTTCCAAATTCTGCTAAATACTGCAAATCCTGTTTCAAAATTCACGATTAATCATATTAAATACTTTGTAATCCTGAAATAATGTTTTCATTTCAATATTTTTTTAGAATATAAAAAGATTTAACTAGCATTTAAAATTTCTGATTCTATAGAATACTTTGTAATCCTGAAATAATGCTTTCATTTCAATATTTTTTTAGAATATAAAAAGATTTAACTAGCATTTAAAATTTCTGATTCTATAGAATACTTTGTAATCCTGAAATAATGCTTTCATTTCAATATTTTTTTAGAATATAAAAAGATTTAACTAGCATTTAAAATTTCTGATTCTATAGAATACTTTGTAATCCTGAAATAATGCTTTCATTTCAATATTTTTTTAGAATATAAAAAGATTTAACTAGCATTTAAAATTTCTGATTCTATAGAATACTTTGTAATCCTGAAATAATGCTTTCATTTCAATATTTTTTTAGAATATAAAAAGATTTAACTAGCATTTAAAATTTCTGATTCTATAGAATACTTTGTAATCCTGAAATAATGCTTTCATTTCAATATTTTTTTAGAATATAAAAAGATTTAACTAGCATTTAAAATTTCTGATTCTATAGAATACTTTGTAATCCTGAAATAATGCTTTCATTTCAATATTTTTTTAGAATATAAAAAGATTTAACTAGCATTTAAAATTTCTGATTCTATAGAATACTTTGTAATCCTGAAATAATGCTTTCATTTCAATATTTTTTTAGAATATAAAAAGATTTAACTAGCATTTAAAATTTCTGATTCTATTGAATACTTTGTAATCCTGAAATAATGTTTTCATTTCAATATTTTTTTAGAATATAAAAAGATTTAACCAGCATTTAAAATTTCTGATTCTATTGAATACTTTGTAATCCTGAAATAATGCTTTCATTTCAATATTTTTTTAGAATATAAAAAGATTTAACCAGCATTTAAAATTTCTGATTCTATTGAATACTTTGTAATCCTGAAATAATGCTTTCATTTCAATATTTTTTTAGAATATAAAAAGATTTAACCAGCATTTAAAATTTCTGATTCTATTGAATACTTTGTAATCCTGAAATAATGCTTTCATTTCAATATTTTTTTAGAATATAAAAAGATTTAACCAGCATTTAAAATTTCTGATTCTATTGAATACTTTGTAATCCTGAAATAATGCTTTCATTTCAATATTTTTTTAGAATATAAAAAGATTTAACCAGCATTTAAAATTTCTGATTCTATTGAATACTTTGTAATCCTGAAATAATGCTTTCATTTCAATATTTTTTTAGAATATAAAAAGATTTAACCAGCATTTAAAATTTCTGATTCTATTGAATACTTTGTAATCCTGAAATAATGCTTTCATTTCAATATTTTTTTAGAATATAAAAAGATTTAACCAGCATTTAAAATTTCTGATTCTATTGAATACTTTGTAATCCTGAAATAATGCTTTCATTTCAATATTTTTTTAGAATATAAAAAGATTTAACCAGCATTTAAAATTTCTGATTCTATTGAATACTTTGTAATCCTGAAATAATGTTTTCATTTCAATATTTTTTTAGAATATAAAAAGATTTAACCAGCATTTAAAATTTCTGATTCTATTGAATACTTTGTAATCCTGAAATAATGCTTTCATTTCAATATTTTTTTAGAATATAAAAAGATTTAACCAGCATTTAAAATTTCTGATTCTATTGAATACTTTGTAATCCTGAAATAATGCTTTCATTTCAATATTTTTTTAGAATATAAAAAGATTTAACCAGCATTTAAAATTTCTGATTCTATTGAATACTTTGTAATCCTGAAATAATGCTTTCATTTCAATATTTTTTTAGAATATAAAAAGATTTAACCAGCATTTAAAATTTCTGATTCTATTGAATACTTTGTAATCCTGAAATAATGCTTTCATTTCAATATTTTTTTAGAATATAAAAAGATTTAACCAGCATTTAAAATTTCTGATTCTATTGAATACTTTGTAATCCTGAAATAATGCTTTCATTTCAATATTTTTTTAGAATATAAAAAGATTTAACCAGCATTTAAAATTTCTGATTCTATTGAATACTTTGTAATCCTGAAATAATGCTTTCATTTCAATATTTTTTTAGAATATAAAAAGATTTAACCAGCATTTAAAATTTCTGATTCTATTGAATACTTTGTAATCCTGAAATAATGCTTTCATTTCAATATTTTTTTAGAATATAAAAAGATTTAACCAGCATTTAAAATTTCTGATTCTATTGAATACTTTGTAATCCTGAAATAATGTTTTCATTTCAATATTTTTTTAGAATATAAAAAGATTTAACCAGCATTTAAAATTTCTGATTCTATTGAATACTTTGTAATCCTGAAATAATGCTTTCATTTCAATATTTTTTTAGAATATAAAAAGATTTAACCAGCATTTAAAATTTCTGATTCTATTGAATACTTTGTAATCCTGAAATAATGAATCAGGGTTATGACGTTCAGTTTGCCTCAATATATCTGTATTGTTATAAATTGAAATATTTAGTGACATATAATTTCAAATTAATTGTATTAATATGAAAAGTACACCGTATTAAATTTTAGTATCAAATTTGTAGCAAATTTTTTCAAAATGTGAATATTAATGGCGTTTAAGTTCTAAATATTATGTACGATAACTAATGATGGCGATCAGAAAATTAGGCTAATAAGATAGCATTAAATATAATTTATTGTTTATAAAGATTTTTAATAAATGATATTAATAATAATTAGCATATTATTAGTAGATGTACTTTAAATATACGTCATTAAATGGCCGTTTCATTCTTTGAAGACAAAAACAAAAAGAAATTTTGACGAGTGCGCAAATAATACACGGTACAGTGCAAATAATTTTGCGCGGAAAAAAGCTCATGCGTAGACAATCATTTCTTCGCAAAGAACGTAGCCATTGTATGATAATCCATACAATATAGGTGAAAATATAAGAAAATCATTCAAAATATACATGAAAAATGTAAAAATAATAGTATCTGAGTTATTTAAAATAGAATCCGATTAATAGTTCGAATTGACGCGTTACGATGTAACTAAATTTTTGTGAGAAGTTTCTTTTATAATTTAAAAAACTAACGAATTTTTTTTTCTTCACATGTATAAAAAAAGTTTAAAATTTCACTGTTTTTCTAGTTCTAAATTTATTTTCATCATTTCGAAAAAAAATGAGAAAATTTGAAATTTGAAATTTTTTAAGTTGTTATATTGAGTTTAAATATTTAATTTTGACCTAAAATATTTTTATGAATAACCTATTAAGAATCTTAAAATTTTCAGAAAGGAGTTTTTCATTTTTTTTTTGAAGTATTTATTTAATAAAAAAACATTTTCTTACAGAAAATTAAAAAATTTAAACTTAAAAGAAAAGAAAAACATGCGTAATTAGGAAGAATGATTGCCATAATCTTTTACGAATAGCTCTTAAAATTTTTTTCTTCGTGTATGAAATTTTACTCAACTTAAGGAAACAAATTTTAAATTAAATAAATCATCTTTAGAAATTTTTATAACTTTAGTGAAATTACAAAATACTTGAAATGTTGGATTTTGTTTCAAACCGATTCGAAATTTCTCAATTCAAAAACTATCCAACTTAAATTCAGTAAAACTAATTCATTAAGAACATTAGATACATAAAATTTGTTTGTTCTTGTGAATTGAATTTGCTACAAGTATCTGGAGCAAGACCCATAGGTAGAAAAAGACACTAACAACTATCGAAATTGAGACCAGATTTGCTTAAGCCTTGAAAAAGATTGCTATATGGGAAAAGCTCTTAAATATATGTAAAACTTAAATGTTTGTGAATTGATTTTTTTATTAAAATATCAAAACAAAAAGAAAAATATCTAAAATGACAATCGAACATTTAGTTTAATTAACAACTTATTAAACAGTGGAATATATAATTTTTTAAATACTTATCTATACTTACTATCTCTTTTTACACGCTTTTCATTAGCTTCACTTGTATGTCAGTATGTCAGTATGTCATTCAGTATGTAACTCTCCGTGGGTAATTTGTGCGCCTGCGGCCTTCCTTGGTTCTGGTAGCCGTTTCTCAGGCTCCCTCTCCGAAATCGAACTCTGATTCCCCGTATTTATAATATTTATAAATAATTATTTTATTCTCACTAATCAATAAATTACTTACTGAAAATTTAATTTAATAAAAATAATAATTTAATAATTTAATTAATAATTTAATAATTTAGTAAAAATAATAATTTAATAATTTAATTAATAATTTAATAATTTAGTAAAAATAATAATTTAATTAATTAATCATTTAATAATTCAATAAAAATAATAATTATAATAGTTTAAAAAAACTAAAAAATCACGCTTTTATAAATAAACCAAACTAAAAAGTAAAAAATAAATAATAGTTTAAAAAAACCCGCTGTGATGCGGGAAAGAATAGGGCTTACAGATAATTATTACGTGAAGCGTTCCAACATTCACGTAACAGGATAATTGGTAGGAAAGGATTGAGAAAGGATTGTGGAGAGGATCATCTTAATGTGAGTGTATAGAATATGTGAGAAAAAAAAAATATTTCGATAGTGAAAACTACCCATAGAAGGTGAAAGGGCCCATTAAATTTGAGCCTCTCTATACAGACTTCCAGGGTAAGCCCAATTTGCGCTTCACGCAAAATCGTGAAGCGTTCCACATTTTTTTAACAAATATAAATAATGCTGTGAATCGGGAAAGAATAGGAGTTACGGATAATTATTACGTGAAGCGTTCCAACATTCACGTAACAGGATTTGGCGCCATTACCAAACTTATTAGAAAAAGATACTAGAGATGGCGCCGCTACTTGATAAATCTCAAACATATTTATTTTGGCTATATTGGTTTACACCAACGCCTTATACCTAATAAAAAAAAAACACATTTATTTCCAGAATTAACTGCATGTTATAATTGGCTGATCTGTTCTCAGTCTCTGTCTCTAATTATATCCGCGATATTATATCCGCGACATAAAATCCATGGCGTTATATCCATGCCATAAAATCTTTGTGCCATTATCTCTGCGATGTTATATTCGTGACGTTATGACGCTGATGATGATGTCAATGTTGACGATCATTTTGGTGATGTTTCTAAAGGCGGTCCAGGAGCGAAGCCCCGGTGGGGATTGGAGACGAATCCTGTAGTAGCTGTCCACTTTTGATAATATTCAGGATCTTCAACTAAGCCATTGTTAAATGTATTCACTGCTGTCATTAATAATTTAAAATTATTATTGACACTTTTTAGAGAAACTGGTTCCTGAGTTACTTTTGTCATTTCCGGGTTCCTTTTATGTTTTTATGGGGAAGATTTTAATACCGTTGGATCATTTTCAAGCTCTTCAGATTTTTTCATTCGTTCAGGCTTATGCGAATCTTCAACGGAATCAATTTCAAAACTTTTGTCTACTTTTTCATCACTTTCAGGCTCATGAGATTTTATCATCCGCTTAGGACTATGCGACTTTTCGTTAGAACGACTAAAAAGATTGTTGTCATCATTGATCTTTTTACTATCTGCTGACTCTGTCACATGTCTTTTGATTTTGATAAAATCTCTCCCTGATGAACGTGTGATTTTTCACGCTTTGATTCCCTGATTTTTGATCGATTTTCCTGTTGGATCCTATAATTTTGTCACAAGTGGATTTGATACAAACTCTGATTAACACGGCTTTTCAGTAACTGTTATGCCGCCGTCAGCTAATTAGTGTTGTATTTTATTTTTATTGACTAGAAACTCGGTTCATTTCATAAACTTCATTTCATAAGCTTGGCAGATGATGCAGTAAATCTAGATTCTCTAGAGGACTTTTGGAATCTATTGTTCAATGAAGAAATTATTGAAATGATCGTCGATAACACGAATGTGAAAATCGAGGAAGTGTGTGCTTTACTGGTTGCTGAAGATCGAGCCCAGACCTACCACCATCACACTGACGCTGTTGAAATTGGAGCTTACATCGGTGTCTTATACTATGCTGGCTTAGTTAGACAGTAAATGTACTGTCGACGAACAATTACTTGGATTCAGGGGCCGGTGTGCATTTCGGATGTACATTAAATCGAAACCGGACAAGTACGGACTAAAATTATTAACTCTCAACGAAGCTTCGACTGCCTACCTGATTAACGCTATACCGTATCTAGGTAAAAATTCACCTATTCCTAATCCTAAGAAGTTACCTAGCGGAGAGTACTTTTTTGAAGCCGTCACAGCTCCAATACATGGCACCAATCGCTCAGTGACGTGCGATAATTGGTTCACAACCGTGCCTCTGTTGACCAGAATGTTGGATAAACCTTTCAAAATGTTTCTGACTGGAACTATCAGGAAGAATAAACGAGAGATTCCTCTAAGATATAAGAAGTCGCGTATTGGATGTTCAGCTTGTAATAGACCGATTTGCGATGAACATCGGTTCGCTCTATGTATAGAGTGTGCTGGTCATTAAATATCACTCATACGTAGTATTTTTTTTTAATTTATCATAAAGATAATATTTTTTCAGGTTTATAATCATAAATATGTATTTAAAATCAAATAAAATGTAAAAGAAGCCATTTCATGATTTGTAATTTTTTGCATTTTTCCTTCCAGTAATTTTGCAAAATAAATATACTTTTTTAATAATTGGTGGATACTGTTATTTTTTTATGGTAGTGGTATATATTGTGCGGACTATCCTGGAGTTATAATCATTAATATTGCTAAATGGCAGAGTAGTGAATTTTTTTGCAAAAAAAGCCATTTTTCCGGAGTTTTAACGTATATGACCAGTTTTTAGAACGCCATCTATAAATTAACCAAGTTAAACCACTAGAAAATTTGAAGAACTCGTCAACGAACAAGACCCAATTAGTTAAAAGTCTCAAAACATGCACACATCTTGTACAACCCGATTTTTCAGCGTGGGGTAATGAGTTATCCCATGTGGCCGCAATGAGGCCTGGGTGAGGTGTGGCCGGTAAGGGTTAATCGAAGGATTTCGCCAATTTTGAGGCTCATGCAAGTTAATTGTCTAAGAAATTTGTATACTAAATTTCATTAGGATCCGTTGAGAATTGTCGACAGAATAACATTCATAAGTCGGTTTCACTACACATTGCCTGAAAATGGTTCAATAGAACTTTTAACTTTGATAAAATAACTGAAAATGGTCAAAATATCAATGTTATATACGTCAAATTTAAGGCAATTTCACGAGCTTTTACATGAATTCATAAAAAATTAGTCATCTCTTTTCAACCAAAAGTTATACATCAATGAAGTCACCAAAAACGTGATTTTCACTATTTTGATAATTTTGAAGTGCTACCATTTCCAAACTTATGGATAGATTTCGCTCATCTTCGAACTCATTCAAGGTTATTATCCAAAGAATATGTGTAGCAAATTTCATCTAGATCTGTCAAGAACTGTAGACACAATCACGGCAACATCCTGCGTTATATAACATATGTATATATGTGACGCACGAAGGGGATCTTCATCATCAACATCGTCAGAAGAGCAATTCTTCGACGCGATGGATGATATTGAGGAAGGAAGAAGAGAGAGAGAAGAGTGGAGAGAGATGATGGCTGAGCATATTGAGAGCCGAGATCTAACTGACTTAAGTAATGAATACGTAAAGCTAGCAGTGGAAGTCAGAAATCTATGGAAGGAAGAAAGGGATATGACCAAGATTTTACTTTTTGTATTTGAGTATCTAGGTCTATTTTTATTAATTATTTAAGTATTAATGAAAACCATTATTATGATTATGGCGGTAATTATTATTTAATTATTGTATTTATTTAGTTAATAATATTATATTATTGGTACCGAAGGTTTGATTAAATTAGAAATTTAAGTGTGAGGATTTATTTTGGGGCCAAGCAGAATTTAGCGAGTAAAAGAAAATGAATTGTAAAAGAAATTAAAAGACCGGGCAAATTATTCTAAGTCCCAAGCAAGCTTTAGTATGGGAAAGCGATGAATGGATATAAAATGAATGAAATGACGATTATTATTTTGTAAGAAATAATTTAGGTAAGCGAAAATTTTATAAGTCCCAAGCAAGTTTTAGTATGGGAACTCGACGAATGGATAGAAAATGAAAGAAATTACGATTAAAATAATAAAGAATTGTGAATTTGACGAAACGAATGGATGGATAATGAAAGAAATAACGATTATTATTTTAAAGAATTGTGTTTGAGAAATAAAAACAGAAAATTTTCGACAATTGATGAGCTTGCGCGAGCCTTGATAGATGACGAAGATGTTTCGTTTGTAGTGATAATTCAAAAATATGTTAAGTTTCGTTTTGAGAATAATTTTGACAAGCAATTCTTTCTCTGGAGAATTACTCGAGCGAATACTCTTCACCAAGTAATTCTAGAGGATGATACTCTACCTGGAGTCTTACCAAGACCCAGGTAAGTATCAGGGACCGACCGGATGAAAGTGCGACTCCCCGTGCCAAGGCCTTCAGCTGAGGTACGGTAGGTGACCATAAGCCGTGTAGGTGGGAGCGAGGAGGATACTCTCCACTTGCTCTCAGGGTAGAGTTTAGGACCCCACAGGGATGATGGCTAGTCGCCCTGGGGGGGGGGGTGTTATTCGAAAACTAGTTTTTGTTTTGTAGACCGCGTTTTTGAGTTTGATCCGCGAATACTGTCGTGTATGTTTGATAAAATTTTCTATTTGTATTAGTTTATACTGCTTACATTGTTTATATTGTTTATTGATTTTGAACCGCGTTAATGATTTTGAACCGCGAATATGTGTGAAAAGAGTTTCTAATGTATTGTTTACATTGTTTATACTGTTTAATTTGTTTATATTGTTTATATCATTTATTAACATGATCAGGTCAATAAAGAGGTGTTCTTCTTCTTTGATTTATTTAAAATGAAGTGTTTTGTTAATATTTTGGTATGTTTGTGATCCCCGTTTATGACCCTGGACTCCGGCGAGTAAATTTCGAGCCGGGGATTAATTAAGATAGTTTATTTAGAAAACGTGGACGTTACAGGGATAAGGATGAGTTGGAGAATAAGGTGGATAGATTGCTGAGGAACAAACTCATCCCGGCACTCAAAGGTGAAACGATAGAAAAAGAAAACAGTGGTAACATCAGCCAGAGAGTGGTAGAAAGTAGCTGTAGGAAGAAAAGGAAGAAAAGAAAAGACAGATCTGGGAGAGAAGGAAATGATGTGAGGCGTAATGAGGCACAAGGTAGAACGCGTACGCAAAGAAAAAGATATGAATACGCGAGGTGCCAGGACTTGTATAACAACTGTCCTAAAAAGCTAGCGGAGTTTATAGCCAAAAGTGATCTGTCTTTCCTGGAGAAAAGAGGAATTACCAGAAAGCGTAGAAGTGAAGAGAGTCTATGATGGACTTTGAGGTCAGAAGGGCTCAAAGAATTTCAAGTTCAAGGATAGAAATGTCATACGCATAAATATCAACGATCTCGCCAGCCCCTTTACAGTTAGCGAGATCAAAAATAAGATTAAGAGAACTAAAAGAGAGAGTGTGGCAGGACTTGATAGAATAAAAAAGGTCCATATAGCGAAGAAAGGTATCGGAGAACTTTTAGAAGTTCTATATAACATAACCATCTTAGAGGGGATATACCCTCGTGCATGAAGGGAAAATAGAACGACACTTATATATCACGGTAGGATCGCTGATTGAAAGAATTTACTCATCTTTGCTTGATGCAAAGATAAGGCAAGTAATTCCTCAGAGTCATCGTCAGAAAGGTTTCACGGCTGACGATGGCTGCAGAATGAACATCCTCATACTGGGCCGGGTTATGGAGAAAGT